CTGAGTAGGGAGCCCGATGTGGGACTCGATCCCAGGACCCTGGGATCATGACCTGAGCCGAAGGCAGATGCTTAACGACTGAGCCACCCAGGCGCCCGATTCCATTTACTTCTTACCGTGACCCCGGGAGACGAGTATTCATTTGTCCGTTCAGACTTTGACACAGCTAATCAGTAGCAGCAGGATACGTCGGAACCCAGCTGTATCTGACTCCCAGTCCCGGTACTTAGCACCCCCGCTCTGCTGCTTTCCACAGGGCTGTTCCTGCCACGGGTATTATCTGCCCTCCTGAGACTTACCTTTGCAGAATTTCGTGGGAGATAATCCACTTCATCCCAACTGATCTGTGTTAAAGAATGAGATTGTGTAACCTTTATTGCTAGGCAAACACCGTATCTGGGCAAGACCGGGCTTTCTGAGGATTTCCCGTCTCCTTAGGACAGACTATGTGGCCACTTATTTCGGCAACGTACAAACTGGAGTAGTATTAACTTACTATGAGTCAGGATGCATGTTTTGTGCGAAGTTTGATTAATTTGATATCTCGAAACCAGAACTGCAACAAATAGATTAACTGTGAAGTAATTTATTATATCTGTCCTTCTTGATTTCAGGCCAGTCTAATTAGCATTAACAGCACTTGCACGGAGATGGGCAATTTTGACAATGCTAATGTCACTGGAGAAATAGAATTTGCCCTTCGCTATTGCTTCAAAACCTGTTCTTTAGAAATATGCATCAAGGCCTGTAAGAATCTTGCCTATGGAGAGGAAAAGAAGAAAAAGTGCAATCCGTAAGTTTCTTTTTCTAAGTTTTGACATTAGGTGGTAGGCGTATTGGGTCTGAATTTTATATGGGGAAGTAAAAGTCCTCAAATAACCAAGACAATTGTTTAAAAGAACAGAACTATAAAGAAAACCTATTGAGAATGATTTGAAAGCTGTAGTAATTCAAACAATGATAGATAAGTAGGTCAGTCAGTGGAATCAGAAGTCCAGATGCAGAACTTGGCCTACTTGGAAACTTCTAGGATTATGAACAGAGATGAGCAACTTTTTATTGCATGCATTAGACACATAGGGTTCCCCTTTTGTGAACTTCCCATTCATATCTTTTGGCATTTTTCTACTGGGTTGCTTGCCATTTTTTAATTTATTTAGAGGAATGATTGGTTTGGTTTGGTTTGGTTTTGCTCTCTCTGCAGTAAGAGAGAAAGCCCCAGACTTTCTTCTTAGTTTCTTCCCAGGATGTTTTTGGATACAACTCTTCATTGATTGTATGTATTATATATATCTTCTAGTTGTTGCTTGTTTTCTAACATTGTTCATGATGGCTTTTCTTGAAAAGAATTTGATGTCAAATTTGTCAGTCTTCTCCTTTAAAATGTCTGTATTTTGAGTCTGTAGAAAAATTCTACCTGAAGGTTATAAATATATCCTTCTCTATTTTCATCTATTAGAGTTTTTTCATACTTCAATCCCTTCACCTTAGAACTAGAATTGATTTTCTATGGCCTTTCTTTTTTCTTACATGGAAAACTTTGAGCACACTGTTTTAATTACCAGTCAGGGAAAGGGGATGGATTGTTGGTCCAGCCAAACTCTGCTCTGCTCTGAAACCTTCAGGAGCTCCTCAGGGCAGGACACATGAAGTGCATTGCTGTGGAGTACTTAGGGTCTCCATAACAGTGTCCCTCTTGTCCTTCTGGTTTCTTAACTTCTGTTATTCCCCCAACTTATACCTTTTGCTCCAGGAAAATTGGAATAGTCGTTTCAAAGCTGTCCCCTGATTTTTTCCAAAGAGAGGCTTTCCTCATGTTTATGTTGTGACTATTTTCCTTACACCACTCCCACAAGTAGCAACCATAATCCTGTCCATTCTTCAGACTACTGTCCAGTCCCATCAGACAGGATGGGACATTATTCTGCCCATGACTGTTCATGCATGCTGAGCCTCTCTTGTAATTCTCAAAAGGACTATAGTGAGGTGGTTGAGGGTATGGACATTGCACCCTGGTCCACCATTTATGTGGTTTGACCTTGGACAAGTCACTCAACCTCTCCATACCTCACTGTAACACAGGGAAAATAATAGCACCTCCTTCAAAGGATTGTTGTAGTGTTTCCTGGAATTTGCCCATGTTAAGCCTTCAGAACATTGTCTAGAACATAATAAACATTCAACAAATAGGAAGCAAGTGAGGCACAAAGTGCACAGAGAAGTAGACCTAAAACTCCACAGAGGGACCCCCTTGAGGCTTTGGCCAAATACTCAGGGCTCATACAGACAAGATTTCATGAGGTCTGTCACAGCGCGGTTGCTGGGGGTGGTGAGCCACTGGGCTTGGCGCAGTGATGGGGAAGATGGGAGCTCTGACCAGCCGGAGCGGAGACTGCTGAACACCTGGGGCACTCACTGGGACGCAGCTGTAGGATTTTTCTAGCCTCAGAGTAGGGGCTACTCCAACTCTCCCTACCTCAGCAAAATCAAGCCTTGATAGGGTCGAACTGAGTTGCCCGTCAGTGAAATGCCTACTAGAATATTAGTCAATACTTTTTAAAGGAGAAACAGCCCAGAGAGGATTCTGGGAAGGTGGCAGGGTGGGAAGCCCTAGGTCTCCCCTTGTAAGACAGTGATTGCACTGGTAGAAGCTCTCTCATGAAACGGTTTTGGAACTGCAGTCTCTTGGAGGCTTGCAACTTCCCGCGGAAGACTTGGATGGTACATTGGGGTTCATTTCAGTCAATTTCCGCTCTTAGCCTAATAGCTGCTCTCCCTCCCCCCACGCCCAGCCACATGGCAGGCAGCCGGGCTGGTGTTCCCGGAGCAGCTTACACACCGCTTGCAGGAGTCAGCGTGGGCAAATAAAGGGAGTCTGTCCTCCAAATATCAGGGTTGTGTGCTCTGACTGCAGACTGCCGCTTCTGATCACAGAGGTGCAGACCCAGAAGCAGGCAACCATTGTGGCAATTTCCTCCAGTTGTTGAGGTCCCCTTCCCATCCGGGCATCCTCAGGAGGATTACCAGCAGATTTCTCATCAGATCCTTTAGAGGCCAGGAGGCAGTCAGTAGACCTATTCAAAGTGCTAAAGGGGGAAAAAAAAAAACAAAACAACCCACCTGTCAACCAAGAATCCTATATCCAGCAAAGCTGTTCTTCAAACATGAGGGATAAACTAAAACATTCTCAGATAAACAAAAGCTGAGGGACTTTGTCCTGCAGGAACTAAATACTCAAGGGAGCCCCCTGCGGGGTGAAATGGAAGGACACCAGACGGTATCTCAAGGTCATGCGAAGAAATAGACCTCAGGAAAAGCAAATACACAGGCAATGATAAAAGCTAGTATTATTTAACAATGGTGTGTACTTCCACCTTATATATTTTAAAAAATTATTTGTCTCTTATTACTCTGTTTGTAACTTTGGTTTGTAACTCCACACTTTGTTTTTGACCTAACATAAGAGACCAATGCATTTCAAAGAAGGATTAGTTTGTGATTTTGGTTACACAGTGTAGAAAGGTGTCATTTTGTGACCTCAGCAATGCAAAGAAGTGAGGTTGGCACTAGGAAGGAGCAGAGTTTTTGTTTGCTATTGACGTTAAGATGGTAAAAATTCAAAGTAGAGTGTTATAACTCTAGGAGATGAGATGTAATCCCCTTGGTAAGCGCAAAGAAAACAGCTATGGAACATAATACAAAAAGAAATGAGAATGGACTTTAAACATTTTACCACAAAATTCAGCTAAATACAAACGAATGGGGGGTGCCTGGGTGGCTCAGTTGGTTAAACAGCTAAATTTTGGGTCAGATCATGATCTCAGGGTTGTGAGATCGAGCCCGGCCTCCAAGCACAGCGGGGAGTCTGCTTGAGATTCTCTCCCTCTGCCAGCCCCACTCACGTGTGCGCATGCCTTCTCTCTCTCTCTCAAATAAGTAAATCTTTAAAAAAGTAAATACAAAAGAATGACTACAGTACCACAGTAAATGGGAGACACTAAAGCTAGAAGGTTTACAGAAACAAATAGCAAATGACAGAAGTAAGTCCCTCATCAGTAATTACTTTCAATGTAAATGATCTAGACCCTCCCATCAAGAGGCAGAAATTGTCAGAATGGATAAAAACACAGGGTCCAGCCATTACCGGAATCAGTAGTCCTTGGCATCACCGAAGCGGCCAGAGGAGCCAGGAAAGGGCAGTGTGAGGACCTCACCGGAGGGGTCAGTCTAGAACAGGATTTCAGGGGGCGGGCAGAATGCAGGTGGAGAGGCCCCACAAGGGGAAAGTAAAGGGTGAGGCATATACTTCCTATTTTCACTTTTTTTTTGGCGGGTTGGAGGAAGTGACAGGTGGAGGGAGGACAAGCTGACACAGGACCTCCACATCCAGGCAGGTTCTCTAACCTGCCACCGTGGAGCCCCAACAGCCCAGCCTCTGGATCCGTGGTCATCACCACATAGGCAGGTAATAAGTGATGTAGATGCTAGGGGTAGGGCAGGAGGAGAGCAAGGGAGCCTTACACCCCCAGGAACATTCCAGAGGATTATGGCCAAAGACTGTGTGAGCCAGAAGGTGTGTAGCCAGCACTGTCCTTGTTCCCCACCAAGCTCTGTCAACCCCCAATCCAGGGGGAAGCAGGGTAAAGAAAATGCTGAGGTCTGATTCTCCTCCTCCTGAACCCTTTGTCCCCCTGCCCCCTACCCCCTTGCTGAGCTCTCACCTTGTCCTGTCTCTGTCTGGCCACTAGGTACGTAAAGACCTATCTACTGCCTGACAGATCCTCCCAGGGAAAACGCAAGACTGGAGTCCAAAAGAACACGGTGGATCCAACATTTCAGGAGACCTTGAAGGTACTTGTTGGACAAGTATTCATGTGCTAAGTCTCCCCGTCCCAGGCTGGGCACCCGGGGCCAGAGTTCAGCAGAGTGTTCTTCTAAACTCTTGAGGCAGTTAAATATAAGTACAGACACTTATACGTTTCTGTAGGGCTCTGTCAATCAGTGGCAAGGTGGTAGAAAATAAATTTCAGCCTTTGTACAGGAAAAGTGCAGAGTCTGCTGGACTCGAGAATGGCTCTTGATTAATGATTTCTGAGAAAATGGTGAAAAAGAACCTGGTTGCCTCTCAATCTCCAAAATTGGTTTGTCCTGTTGAATTTTTATGGCTCCCAGAGAGGTACTCTCAAGCAGGCTCCTCTGTGAACTACTGAGTTACTATCTTCACGAAAGTGTTCCTTTATTGTAATAATCTGGCAGCCCTAGGTTTCTTCTTCTATGAGCAAAAAAAAATAGTCATCTTATGAAAAACATTTTATAGAGGAATTGTTTGGGTTTTCACTTTCTTTGGTGCTAAGAAACAGGATTTGTGATGTGGGGCAGAGAGATAGGGAGCGACTACGGGGATTTAGGGTGGACGGTTGGAGACGATGTGTGGCAGAGGCCGAGAGCTAGGTGTGGGAGGCTTTGCACTGGAAGAACCATCCAGATGCGCAGGGATGTACCCAGTCAAGGCTGGGCAGCCCAGGGACCCCACATGTCAAGCCTGCACAAGGAGAGGGCTTGGTTTGCCTTCCTTGGCAAGTAGGGGCATTTCTGAACTCCCAGCCAATGACCGTCTGGCCAGTTGGCAGGAGCTCCATTTGTTAAATAATAAAAACCACTGTTTCCTGTGTCCCTGCTGTGGCCAAGTGACCTGAGCTATTAGAATCCTCGTTTACCAACGGGGAAACTAAGGCTTAGAGAGTATTCAGAATTACAGCTCTAACTCACGATGGACTGGCATTCTTTCACAAGATTTATGGTCATGGGACTCCCCCAGAGGATTTTCTAAAAAACAGACTATGATTCAGCAGGTGTGGGTGGTATCCAAGGGATCCCCGTCTGAGACCCCCTCTGGTAGCAAGTCAGTAGACACGGGTCTTGGCGTAGTTTTGCTCCGTATCTGCTGAAAGAGTTTTGAAAAGCTCCGTGCCCCCTCAGACATTTTAAGTTCATATCCAAAATCACTCATTGTAAGTTTAATTAAGGTGTTTTGTACTAAACAGGTAAACAAATAGTTCACATTTTATGAAATGAGGCGAAGATGAGGACTGAGTATATTTTAAATATTATATAGTTTGATTTTTTAAAGTTTTAACTACCTGATTTAACGTGCAGGCAGAATCTCAAAGAAATCGCCCCCAATTTTTATCCATTGGTTTTTACCCAATGTATTGTGGATATTTCGGTTGTCCCGGAAAACTTCCCAGATACATTGAAGAGAAGCCACGTCCCTCATCTCGTCTAAAGTCTAGAAAGCGATCCTGCAGGTTTTCTAGGCAGGCGCTCCACGGGAAGACCACCGTAGGGGCCCTGGGAAGGTGCCATGCCACACCGGATCTGGGGTCTGTGTCTGAGGCTGGGTGCTCAGGAGAGGCGGGGGCAGCCACCCAGCCTGCTGGGACCGCCTTAGGGGTGGACCAGGGCGCCGGGGAAAAGGTCTCTTTCCAAAACGGGATTCGGTCAACCGGAAGGAGTCGTGTTTGTTGGCGGGGGGCCACCGTGTGCGAGGACCCCTGAGAGGCAGGCCCCGTGCACGGGGTGGATGGGGAGGATGCCGCCGCCCGAGGGGGTGACCGTGGGGGACAGGCAGCTGCCCGCCTGGGACAGTCCATGCTCAGGGGAGCAGGGGCGGCGCCGGGAGCTGGCAGCCTCGGCAACTGACTGGCCGTGTGGCCGTGAAGGGGACAACGAGACAGACTGGGTGACTCTGAGGGCAGAGTCAGACACGGACCGTGGGCGCCCGGCTGGCTCGGACGGTGGAGCGGGCGACGCTTGATCTCAGGGTTGTAAGTTCGAGCCCCACGTTGGGTGTAGAGATCACTTAAAAAAATAAAATCTTTAAAAAGAAAAAGAGATTAAAAAAAAGAAATGGACCATGGACTTGAGGGAAACCGACTGAAAATCAGCCCAGGACATAGAGGGATGTGGCTTGTGACCACAATGGGCACGGATAATCCCAGAGGGAAGAAAAGGAGGGGCAAGTGGGGCAGGCAGCCTGGCCCCGAGGGGGTGTTCGCGGCCTGTGGGGGGGGGGCCGGGGGCAGGGCAGACGCGGCTGCGGGCCGTCCCTGTTGGGGAGACCGAGGGAGACAAGTTACGACTGCTGCACACACCCGTGTCGCTCCCCTCTTGGCCACCGGTGGATGGGCACGAACGGTGTGCAGATGGGTCTCAGGCAAACCAAGGCGGCCACTCTAAGTGGGGGTGAGGCCTGGCCGTGTGACAGGCGGTCCCGGGAGGAGCCAGGACGCCAACCCCAGCAGGGAGCTGCCGAGTGGGCATTTCCCCTGTAAACGGGTGATCGCTAACACTGACTTCAGGGGACGCTCCTGGAAGCTAAGGAGCAATGTAACCAAAAGCCTGGCGCAGAACAAGGGCTCAGTAAAGTATAACCTTTTTTTTTCATTATTGAGAAAATCCAACGAATAGGCTTGGAACAGGCTCGCAGAGGCTGAATGGAGTCAGCGGCTCTTGGGAAGCCTGGCTGTGTCCTGGCCTTCAGGAAGGGGCCGGGGCACTCTCACCCAGGGCCTTTGGCCTCTAGTCCCCGTGGGAGCAGGGGCCCACCGTCGGCTGGAACGGGGGTGGGGGGCAGACTTTCTTGTCCTCTGGCTGTGCTGAGGCTCCTGTCGGGGGCCAGTGAAGAAACAGCTCTGTGTGACCCTGAGCACCAGATAGGCCTGGCATCGTCCGTCTAGGCAAAAGCCCATGCTAAAAACTCAGGCTTTACGTTAAAAAAAAAAAAAAAAAAATTCCTAGCTTTCAGTATCTTTGAACAACCCTGGCCAGGCAAGTTCAGTTCCTGAGCTGAGACAGATCTTGGCTTCAGTTGGATGGGGCCTTCCCTCCTTGCCTGGGGCACAGATCTGGATTGTGGGAGGGGGACTCTGTAGCTGCCCAGCCTTTCCCCCCAGGCTGAGTGCTGGCTACACGGCTGGTGGAGGAGGTGGTTCTGTGTTTGAGAAAGCAGAGACCACCCCCCACCCCCGCTCCAAGCTGCTCAGCCCACCCTGACCACACCAAGATGCTCCAGCCTGCAGGAGAAAGGCCCCTGTGGCCCAGGTCCCCGGAAGCTGTGGGTCTCCGGAAGCTTGGGTCCCTGGAAGCTGTGGCCCCAAGGGGCTGTGGACCACCCCCGCACCATGCCCCAGGAGGCTATGGGCCCTGGAAGCTGTGGGCCCTGGAAGCTGTGGGCTTGGGGAGCTGTGGGTCCCCAGGGGGTTGTGGGCCCTGGAAGCTGTGGGCTTGGGGAGATGTGGGCCAGGAACCCAGACCAACTGCCTCTGCTCTGTCTTTGCAGTACCAGGTGGAGCCCGGCCAGCTGGGGACCCGGTGGCTGCAGGTCTCTGTGTGGCACCTGGGCATGCTCACCCGGAGGGTGTTTCTTGGAGAGGTGACCATCCCTCTGGCCACATGGGACTTCGAAGACAGCACAACACAGTGTTTCTGCTGGTATCCACTGAGGGCCAAGGTGAGGTCTGGTTTGGGACTGGACTACCCTACCCCCACCACGAAAACAAAACTCCCTTTTCAAAGGGGTTCTGGAAGAGAAAACCTACCCGGGAAGCCTCAGACCCAAGACACCACCACGTGCTTGCCTGCTGGGGCTCTTCAATAGGAACTTCCCGGGGAGGAAAGGCTCCACGTCAGGCTCTCCTGGGTGGGGTAGGGAGCTTTCCCTGCTCGGGTTTGCTCAACTACCTGAGAGCCCCTTCCTCAGGGTAGCCTGAACATCAGCCTGGGTCAGGTCTAGGGGTTTGGGCCTCCTGTGATGGCCTTGTGGGCCCACATGCTCCCCTCCCCAAATTCAAGGTCACTTGGTTTCAGCCCGGGAGCCCTGGGCTCGCTGCTCCTGCGGCCGGAGGTGACCACGTGCGCCCGGCAGCCTGCCCCCAGTCGTGCGGGCCCGGCTGTGGCTTCTGCACTCCTGCCCCAGGCGCTCCCAGAGCAGAAACGGCCGAGAGCGGTGGCCCGATGTGGTCAGGAGGGCCGGGGCTGCCCCGACCTGCAGGGACTCAGGGCAGGGCGCGGGGGCGGCCCGGAGAGGAGGCCCGCTCGCAGGCTGTGCCGCTAAGAGGAGAGCCTGGGGAAGAAAGTCTGCATTTCTTGGAGCAACTGCTCTGCACTCTTCTGTGCCAAGATCCAAGCACAGAGGGGAGAGGGGACCAGGGACGGATGAGATAATAGGGGCGGAGGAAGCGTGGGCTCCTTCATCTCCTAAGAAATGACCACGCTGTGCCAGTCCCAGCAGCCAGAGTCTGGCCGCGAGGCTGAGGCTTTCCCAGGCCTGGGCCAGGTTCTGTGCGCTGTCTCACCTCCCCGGGCCTCTCTGAAGCCAGGGGGGCTGACTGGCCGGCTCTCGGATTTCCGGCTACTGTCGGGTCAAGCCAAGGGTCTCCCGCCTGGGGACCGCCCTGTCCCACCTCTCCTGCCCCTTTTCGTCTACACTGCTCAGCATGGCCCCGGCATCCGCATCCCGCACCCGTGCTCACCCTTCTCAGAGCCCGTCCTCAGGCATCCACTTGGGATGTCTACTTGGAATGCTTTCTTCTAGCCACGGTCTGCCCAAGACTTAGCCGGAATCCCACCTCCTCCATGAAGGCTTTCCTGATTTTCATTTTTCATGATTTTCCCTGCCAGTGTGCTTTCCCCCAGGATCCGCCCATCTGTTCCCTCTAGAGCCTCGCTCGGGACAAGACTAGTGGCCACCAAGGCTGCTGGCGAGAGGAAGAGGCGTAGAAGGTGCCAGGCTAAAGGATGTCCTTCCTAACACCAGCTGATAGTGACCCCCCTGGCTGGATTGGGCGTACCCTGCTTCCAGGCCTGCCCCCTCGGCCCTGACAGGAGCAGCCCGTGGGGTTAGTGCAGGTTTCCAGAAGTGGAGGGTGGAGGCAGCTTTATCTCGTCTGGCACCCGAGGGCCAGCCTCCTTCTGGGGAGGCAGCCAGGAGCCCATGAAGAGACACTGCGGAGTAGACGGGCCGGCCCCGCCCTCTCCTAGGAGTCCTCGCCGAGTCCACTGACCTAGAGGGGCTCAGCTTTATCCCCTTTCTTCACACTCTGGCTGTGTGTAGGTTTTCTGAGGACTATCCTGTGGGAACGTGCCAGGGCCTTTGAGCCCCCTCACCTCCTCAAGGCATGGGGTGGGAATGGAGAGTCACCACAAATGGAAGAGTGACCAGCCCTGCCATGGGCCTGTCCACTCCACCCCAGGGCACTCCCCAGCCTGCAGAGGCTTTGCAGGGGTGAGTGGGGGGGAGGGGGTGGAGGTGGGGCACTTATGGACAGAGCTGGGGCAATCAGAGGAGCCCAGAAGGTTCTGGGGGCTGAGGAATCCTGCCTCTTGAGTTCTGTCTCTTGCCCCCAGGCAGAGAAACTTGAAGACAGCATTCTTCCCAGTAATGGAGAACTTGCAGTCCGGGCCAAACTGGTCTTCCCTGCAGGGCCCAGAAAGCTCCAGGAGGCCCAAGAAGGTAGGTGGCCTCCAGCCCCATGACTGTTCATCTGTCAGTTTCCAAAGCCTGGAGCAGCAGGTGGGTTGAGGACTTCCCTTCTGCCACCCACTAATCCTGCAATGTTCCAGTAACTTTCCAAGATCTGTGAAGCTCAGCCTGGAACATGGATTCTTGGAACCTGTGGTTTGGAAGGGAAATGAGGAAGCAGAGCAGGCCAGGCCTCTGATGCCCACTGCACAGGGATGGCTCTTAGGACACCAGCTCTGGGGCTTTCCTCCCAGGGGGCTGGCGCGGACCGTCTCCCTGGTGTGAGCCGTCCCACTGCCGCCCCTCTGGGAGAGGGAATGCTCCTATGCCCACCTGCGTTACAGTTGGGAGTGTGGCTCCTTGGGAACCAAGAGTGCATCTCGAGGTGCTGGGGCCTGCAGGGCTGAGTGAATGCACCCCTGCTCCCAAGTTCTGTGAGCCGTTGCCCAGCAAGAGAAGGCATCAAGGACAGGCTCTCGAGGACCTTATGGGAGGTCTAACTAAGTGAAATAAAGTGGAGCGTACGAAGAGAGGAGGGTGAAGAAAGAACACACAATTCTGTCATGTAGTTAGCGGTCTCTTATTTGCCTGAAGAGGGAAAAGTCTGCTTCCAGAGCTCACGGGGCCACCGGCATCTGCAGTCATTGCCAGCGCCCTAGAACACAAGTCTTAGGGCCCTTACTTTCCCCAAAACCACTGCCCGCACTTGACTGCAACCTCTGCATCCTTCCTCTCCTTGGATCCCTCTTTCTTATCTTTGTAGCGTCCCAGGATTTTAGTGAGCCCTTCCTCCTGTCACCGTGCTGGCTTGCAGTGGGACGGCACGTTTGCAGGGCCAGCTGAGCCTTCCCACCTGGATACGCTCCTCTTCCCGTCTGCTGTCTTGGGCTCTCCAGGCTGTCACACACCCTCCCGCTGAGCTTTCAGATTTGGGGTGGTGGCATTGATGCTCTGTGAAGTAGGGCTCACAGCAAATGCCGGCTTTTCTTCCAGGGACAGATTGGCCATCCCCGAACGGTCAGCTTTGCTTGGTCGTGCTGGGAGCCAAGAATTTGCCCGTGCGGTCAGATGGTACCCTAAACTCATTTGTTAAGGGGTAAGTATTTAATCAATTGTTTACTGATAATCTGTACATGCATGTGGCATGGTCTTAGAAACTCCAGCAAACACCAGGAAGTGTAAGCCATTCTGAACTTGTATTTTAGCTTTCCCGTGAAAATCCAACGTAATGTGTTCAAGACTCTGATTTCCAAGAATTCGTGGGATTTGGACCTGTTGAGGCTAGATGTGGAACACTGTATTTTAACCTGAAACCCGTATTTTATTGGTTCTTGTTACTACATCAGCATTTTCTGACTCAAACAGCTTGGAAAAAGCAGTGTGGTTGGTACTATTCCCTTGCCTTCCCATCTCTTGGATTAACAGTCAGGTGGGCTCTGCTTTTGTCATTCTTACTCACTACCGGTGTGTCGGTGTGTCCAAAAGCAAAGCAAACACCATTAATTATTATACAGAATTGCTGCATCCCTGGGTCAGGGACATAATGGGAAACACTGGCTTACCATGCCAAGATCTGTGTTCCTGTCCTCAAGCTGCCATTATCGTAGGACCTTGGGCAAGTTACGTGGCCCTTCTGAACTTGTCTCCTGAGAACCGGGTTAAAATGAGAGAATGTGTGTGCAGAGTCCTGGTCCCTGGGTAGCAAGTGTAAAAGCCATGCTTTGCCTGGTGGTCGGCCTCCCAAGGAGGGGGATTAAGGCAAGGGCCATGTGGCCTGGAATCCCAAATGACCCTTCGCATCTGGTGCAGAATTCAGCCCTAACTCTGGAACATCCTAGCGAGAGGTCACATGGCCAATCTTGCGATTCACGTTCTTGCTCCTGGCTTGGAATTTTTCTTTGGGAGCGGATCTAGCCCTTGGTCTCACGATGGCCAGCACCGCCAGGGGCGGAGGCTGGGCCGGCAGTCCAGAGCCAGTGTCTCTCCCTCCTGCAGCTGTCTCACTCTGCCAGACCAACACAAACTGAAACTGAAGTCCCCAGTTGCGAAGAAGCAAGCTTGTCCCCAGTGGAAGCACTCCTTCGTGTTCAATGGCGTGAGCCCTTCCCAGCTGAGACAGTCAAGCCTGGCATTAACCGTCTGGGACCAGGCCATCTTTGGTGTGAACGACCGCTTGCTGGGGGAAGCCTGGCTCGGTTCTAGTAAGTCTGAGAGATTTATTGGGCCTAAGTAGTATGCTTTATCCTTAGCGAAGATCTTACACGGTGACCACTAAAAAGCCAATTATGCTTCCACATTGGCAGGTGATGTAACTAGCTTGGAAATGGCCTCACTGTTAAATGGAGATTGCGACATCTAGTTCTTACTCTGCAAGGGAGCGGTAATACAGCCAAGTATTTCAACAATTTATATCAGATTTAGATCTGCTAAAGGAACAAAAATTACAGGCCTCAAAATGGGCCGGGTACAGTATTTGCTTTTGTTTCCGGCATCAGTCATAAAAGGATTAACTTCTTCAAGGAAAATACCTTAATCCAAACAGAGGGAGTGGGACAAAAGGGCAGTGCTTCTCAGCATTGCTCAACTGGGGTGCTGGTGGCGTAGTGTGGGGGACAGCCCTTCGTGGGGAGGGCTTGCACACCCTGGCCCCTACCAGTGGTGCCCCTCAAACACTGTGCCAACCAAAAATACCGGCACACACCTCTAGGACCTCTGAACCAGATTCACTGTTCCATGAAAAGGAACATTGTCCCGAGATGCCTGTGGGTGGCTCAGTCGGTTGAGCGTCCAGCTCTTGATTTCAGCCTAGATCCTGATCTCAGGGTCCTGGTATCCAGCCCTGGGTCTGGCTCTCCGCTCAGCGGGGAGTCCGCTGGTCTCTGCCCCTCCCCCAGCTTGTGCTCTCCTTCTAAAATAAATGGGTAGATCTTTAAAAATAGAAGGAATATTGTCCAAGGACACACCCTCCCCTTCCTATAAGGGAGTCCTGTCTGCCTGCAAATCTGGCCCCCGGTCTGAGGCCACCCCACCGAAGCACACCCATCGTAATGTGTTAAGACTGTCGAGTCCCCTTCTTGAAGACACCCCCCCCCAAAACATGTCTTCTCCTTTCAAACTATGGGAAAGAAGGCAGCTTTGGGCTCTTGAGGCTGCACAGTATTTAGGAATGAATGCCTGAGTGTGTCCAGCTCTGAGGATGGTGTTGGGGTGGAGGTGGTCTTGCTCTTCCTCACCAGTGGTTGGCATTTTCATATGGTCTTGAGGTTAAAAACACTTTTTAAAAAAGTTGGTCCTCATTTTAAAAAGCTGAGAAGAGGGCTGTTAAGGGGTTATGCGTATCACCCATTACTAATTAGTCACTTCACTCCCATCACAGAGGAAGCCGGAGCTGGTGGTGAGGACTCAGGCTCACCGTCAGAGCGTCAGTGGCAGAAAGTTCTTTCTAGCCCCAATCTGTGGACAGACCTGACACTCATCCTGCACTGAAGCCAGGGTTCCAGTCTGTGGTGAGAGTTTAGTGCCGCAGGCCTGACGGTTAGCTGAGGCCGTGGGCACGGACACTCGCCGTCTGCAGCTCTGTCCCGGAGCCCGCACGTTCTTCCACATCCCTGTGTGTACAGCACTTGTTGCTATTGTATAAATAGGTCTGTTTGGTTTTCTGTGCTTTGAGACATGTGGAAAACGGCCAGATTTCAATAAACGTTTGTTACCTCTGTCCCCCAGCGCCCTGCCTTGTTATATGCATTTGAAGGACAACTAGAGCCTGGTTCTGCTTTCCGGAGGGGCACCCCGTGCGGGGCGGCCAGGTCCCCTGCCCCCGACGCACGCCCGTACACAGCCATGGCCGCCTCTCATCTTGCACAGCTTTTATTTCTCAGGTCTGGGGTGCAGGGCTCACCTGCACACGGCTCCCACCCGAGCAGGAGGACGAGCCGGTGGAGTGTGAGAGCTGACATTTCGACAGATTTTCAAGGACGCGGGAGAGAACTGGCGAGGTCAGAGCAGGTTCTTCTTGTGGAAACAGACAATACCAGGTGGGAAGAGTCCCTCTATAGCTGGAGTCTGGATGAGCCAAACAGCATGTGTGTCTTTTTCAAGGAAGCTCGGATAGAAAACTGAAATGCGCAGTTACAGGCACAAGGGCACTCAAAGTAAAAAAAAAAGTCATTTTTACAGATGTGATTACAGCGGTTAAGCCACCTCCTTACTGTCCTCACGTCAGATCAAGTGCCATGGTAACAGGGTTTTTAATACGTAATTCTTTTATTCTGTAAAAGGTAACAAAATATACAGAATGAAACTTTCCCTTTTTTAAACTAATGTTACAAACCCATATTGTCACTTATATATAAATACTCTTCTCTACAGCTGATCATTAGTTAGGTGTGAGTCCAACAATGTGGCCCTCTGTTAAGCAAAAAAGAGAAAACCCCCCAAAACCAACAGAAGTTTATCCAAGGCTGGAGTGTCCTCCCTGCACTATTGATCCTGAACTGAAGGAGCAGAGAAGAAAAATCACTGTGTGCATGTGTGTGTGAGTGCTTTAGACTGTCTTCAAAAGAATTTTCACCTCTCAAAACATAAATATACAAAGATGGATCCTTCATGGAAATCAAAATCTGAGCTAATTTCAAATGCAGAAGAAAGTATGGCACGGACTAGAAGCCACGATGTGGTTTTACTGACGCTGAACCTCGTGTCTCACATACCAGCATCAAGTTTGTTACTCAGACTTACAGGCATCGTTCCTTAATTCAGTCAGTCCTGCTGCAAGCACAAACAGGAAGTGATTCAATAACAGCAATAAAAAAAATCAGGCCTGTTTGGCACTATGATACAATTGGGAAAAATAAACTAGGGAATCTTCCACTGACCCCAGCCCCAGAATAGTCCCACTGCAATAACTACTCTCTTTTTAAAGGAACTGGAATATGACGGGGGGTGGGGGGGAGGTGGGGGTCCTAGATTCAAAGAACTACAAATACCAGCTTCAGAGATTGACCGCGACCCCCGCCCGCCCCCGGCCCCAGTCCTGGCCAGGCCTCACATGGCCTCGAACTCGTCGATCCGCTGCTTGGTGTTGCCCTGCCGGATCTGCCGCAGCGTCTTGTACTTGTCCCGGCCTTGCCGCATGTTCTCATTGTGGATGATGTCGTTGTGGGTCCTTTTGTTCTCATCTCTGGCCTGGGACAGCTCACTGGTCAGGGTCTGCAAGGGGAAGCAGCTCGTGTCAGGTGTGGCCCGGGAGCAGCGGGGAGCTGGGTGGGATGGCTCCCCCCCACCCCTGCCCGGGCCGCCCCCACCCCGGCGCCCTCACCATCAGCTGCCGCTGCACCCGCTCGTTCTTCTCGGCCTCGGTGATGCGCTTCTCCTCATTGCGGTCATCCAAGATGCCCTCGCTGGAGAGCTCGGCGCTATAGCCCGTGTACTCCGTGCCCTCGTCCTGCAGGTTGTCCTGCACGTGGTAGCTCACCGGCTCATACACGGGGGGCGGTGGGGGCGGGGGGGCTGTCATCACTAGGTGCAGCTCCTCCTTGGTCTTCACCAGGTCATCTTGGGCTTCTTTGGCCTTTGAAAGCAATCCGTACACAGAACCCAGTGTTTAGACCATTTTCGGGGGAATCCCCTTTTCAATGACGAGAAGGCTTCGGCACCTTCTCTCACCACTCCCCTGCCTTCTCCTGGGCGGGCTGGACGCGTGCGCCCTGAGTGGCACGGCGGGGGGCGGGGAGCCGTGGCTGAGGAGAAAGCATCCCCACACAGGATCTGCCCAACTTCTTCCGAGTCCGGGGCTCTGGATCCTGTGATCAGTTCTCAACTGTGCTCTCAGCACAAAGAGGGAAAGTCATATCAGGGACTTTTTAAAGAACCGTAACTTCTTTTTTTCTGTCTCTAATTCTAGTATATGTTCACTGTATGTGTTTTTGAAGAAAAAAAAAAAGGAAATTATTAAACAAAAATCCTCCAGCCACGAGAAAATGCCACTATCCCATTTTAGAGTACAGCCTTATTCTCTTTCCTTGTGTGGCCACTATTTATCAGGCTCCTTGCTGCCTGGCACAGTGCTCAAGCACTTTCCTACCTGCTGTGACCCCCTAAGCCTTCCAGCAACTTCTCTTGGGTACACATCCCCAGTCATGCCCACCTCACCACCATTCCAACCCCGGAGATGAGCTTAGTTTGAACCTGTTCTGCAACCAGCTTTTCTCAATGAACACTTTCTCCAAAAACCTAAGGACGGAACGAAGTCTTTTGTACACAGCCTGTGTTCGGGGGTGGGGCTTAAGAGGGGTGAGGAGAGGCCCCAGGTGTCCCCAGAAGGGGCCAGTGCAGATGGGGAAGCATGGGCAAGGACAGGTGGGAGGGGTGGGGGGCTGCCACAGCTTGGCAGAGGTCTACACTGAACATATCCAAAGCTCCCCTGGGGACCGTGCTTTCCCGGTGGGCGTGGGGGCTCAGCTGGGGAGACAGGCTCTCTGGACACTGCACTGGAACATGGGGAGGAGCTATTACTCCCCATCTCTAACAAGGAAACGGGGGCTCAGAGAGGTCAGGACACTTGCTCCATACACAGTGGATGAGAGCAGAGTTGGAAGCCTTGTCCCCGGTCTCGACACCTCCAAGTCCAGATCTTTCCATGGTGCCATGCTGCATACATCAGTGGTCAGGAGAGGTAGGAGGTCTTGTTTGAGGTGCTGTGGCCTGTCGCTGGGAGCACCCACGTGACCAGATTTAAAGCTAGCTCCTGATGGGGGCTGCCTGATGCGGCTCAACAGCGTGGGGTGGCCAGAACAACTGGGTGCAAATGAACAAGAGGCTCCTTGTTCCCTGCTAATCCAACAGTGGATTCCCCAGTGCACAGAGCAGCCCATTCCTATGGGGATTTCAGCCTAAGCAGCACAGCTGGGATTGGCAGAACATTGCACAACATCCCGAGCCTTCCTATGCGACCCCCCAGCCTGGCCCCAGGCTGTCTTCCCCGCCCTGAGCGCCTGCACCTGCAGACTCACCCTGTGCTGCCACTCCTCGACCTCGTCCTCCTTGCGCCGCCGGGCCTCCTCCAAGAGGGCGATCTTGGCTGTGTACTCGGCTAGCTCTGCGGCCTGGTGAAGGGCACGAAGCAGAAATGATTTCTGGGGTCGTTGGGGAGAGCCCTTTTGCAAATGGACAGCCACATATTTTGGTGATGGGCCTCGTCCCCACCTCCTCCCCAGTCAGCAGTGCCCATGGCTGCCCACCGTGTCCTCCAGACCATGCCTCCACGTCTGGCCCCCCAGACTGCTGCACCAGGGCCGCCTGAGGCCCCACCACCAGCACAGCCCCTCCCACCAGGTTTTTCTCCCTCGAGCAGATCATCTTACAGTCCCCGACACCATTATAAGGCAGGTGTCACTTTTTGGCCCCCCCGGGGCAGCCTCTCGGTAATTCAGCACCGTGTGACTCCGGGAGCCCTACCAGCTGCTCCTGGCTCTTCATCTGATCTGCGGCCTGCTTCTGCAGCTCCTCCTTGGCCCGCACAGCGGCCATGCGGTCTGCCTCCAGGCGCTCAGCCGCCTCCTGGGCACGCTGCCTCTCCTCCTCCAGCTGCAGGGCTCTCTGAATCTGGTCTGAGAGTTCTGGAGAGAGCACAGGGCCCTGAATTCCCAGCCTGGATGCCTGGCATGGGGTCCAGGGCGGGACTCACAGCACAAGCTACAAAGCACTGCATGGGGGGCCTCTGCTTCTACCGACACAGAGGAAAGCCCACTGCGGTGCGTTCCCTGCTATGCACATAGACAACATCCTTGCGGCAGTTAGAAACTGCTAGGGAGGGTTCCCCCTCCCCTGGCCAGGGCTGGGGTAGGTTGGCAGACATGCAGAAACCATACCACTCGCCCAGTTTTTAGTTTATAAGACAGGAGGCATCGTAGCATGGTTTGGGCACTCACTGGCTGTGCGACGTCAGGCAGATTAATTTCCCTGCTAAACCTTAACATCGTCATCAGGAATATGGGGATGACTCAGTACTAACCTCAAAGGAGTGAGGGAAAATTTAAAAATGTGCATAAAGCATTTAGCACAGAACCAGCACAGCATCAAAAGTATCAAGATAATCAAAAGATTATCTTCTAATCCAAACACCCATGGTCAGCTCTCAGCCTCGAGTCTCTCCTGTGGGTGCTGTGTTAAGCTGAGACGTTCCTGGCTGTGGGTGTGCTGACGGTCCATCTACTCCTCGCTGCGGAATGCACCCCTGCATGCATAAGCACTGGGCACAAACCCACCTTTCTCTGCCTTCTTGGTTTTCTGCTCGTAGTCCTGCAGCCTGAGCATCAGCTCCTCCTTCTCCCGCATCATCTGCTCCTTCTCTCTCTCCACGGTCTCTCTCCTCTTCTTCTCGGTCTCCAGCTGCTGCCTGTTACAGGGCGAGGGGCGGTGCAGGAAGGTTTAGGTGCTGGCAGACACCTGTCATGTCAACACGCATCACCAGTGCCCAGTCCAGGCCCCACCTCCAGATGGTATGGACTCAGGAGGCAGCTCCCTGAGCGGGTCCTTGGGCCCCACGCAGTAACTTCCGAAGGTCCTCGCCCCCTGAGGCTCCACCCGTGTTCGCTAGGTTATGTTCCCCTGGCGCCTCTGATGGAGAACAGCGCAGGCAGGGCCATCTAGTCTGGGAGAACACCGCCCCGTCCTGCTGGCCTCCACCCCGCTCACCGCTCCAGCTGCTTCTGGTGCTTCTCCTCCCGGGCCTGGGCCTTCATCTGCTGCACCTCAATGGTGTCGGGCTTCCTGCGGCGCATATACAGCTCATGATTCCCCATGCAGAGCTGCAGGATCCGCTTGTTAATGCGCAGGCGGGGGGCATAGAACACGAAGTCCTACAGAACAGAACAGGGTGGACTCTAAGCAGGAGGAACACTTTCCTTTGGCTTTCTTCTTCCAAACCCGACTTCACAAAGTTCTAGATGACCTTTTCTAAAAGGACAAATGTAGCAGAGTATGGGGCCAGAAAGAGACTTCAAGGAAAAGCCACTGACTCCAAATGACGGGACAGAAAGTTCCTGGTGCCGTGGGATCTGGATTCTCTGGGACAGAGCAACTGTGTGTCTTTGTGGGTATGCATGTGCGCACACCCTGAAACCTCTCTGGCTGGACGGTAAAGCTTCTCCGAGGCAAGAGGTCTTACAGCCTTGGGAAACCCGGGACCGAGGCCCAGCGCTGCCTGGTCTTCAGGCTGACACCCTCTGGCCCCACCAGCCAGAGAACCACCATCCCCCTGTCCTGCCTGGGGTGCAGCGACTTCTAATTGGGCTTCTGGTCTCCTCTGCCTCAACCCTGGCCTCCCACACGGCCACCAGTGCATCCATCGGGTCACTAGCGGACACCTGACGCCAGCCTGCTTAGCTCCAGGCCCAGGTACTGACGCCGTGGCTGGGCACGTGTGCGGAGTCCGGCCCCGCAGCCCCCGCCTACCCCTTGTGCACCTGAACTGCACTTGCGTGCCCGCCAACTTAGTTGCTCAAAGCAGCCCTGCTACTTGGGATGTCCTGTCCAACCCCACAGACCCGAGGAGATGGCACGGAGGCTCCTGTCTGGAGTGCTCCTGCTTCCGGCTTCACTGGCACACCTCCTGTGCCCCCTATGCTCCACGGGGGAGCCGGCATGTCCGCTGACGCACCTGGTTTGGTCTCTACCTTCCCCTGGACGGGCAGCTCCCCCGACAGCAGGGCTGTGTTCATTCATCTCTCTATCCCCGGGACCCAACAAATGGTCTGGATTCTGCCACGTCTAAGCCTGTGACCTTGAGCGAGTCACTTCCTTGGAATCTGAACACCTTCAGCTGCATGGTGGGGAGGACAGTAATCTAACAGGACTGCTGCGAGGATTAACTCAGACACTGTCAGCGGGACAGGAGGCTCACTCACAGACTGCTGGCTGCCTGACAAAACTGCTAGGGAAGAGCCTTCTTGAACAGAACAGACCAAGGCATCCGAGAACCTTAGGACTGTGACTGTAGAAGTCTGCGACGTGGGACAGGGACGGCACACGGCCTTGCCTCCTAGTTCTTGCTACTGCTGCGATTAATGCAGGGGATGGGAGAGGAGAGAGGGTTTAGAAACTCTTGTTAAAAGTTATTTTAAAATGCCAGTCTGCGGGGTGCCTGGGTGGCTCAGTGGGTTAAGTGTCTGCCTTCGGCTCAGGTCATGATCCCGGAGTCCTGGGATCGAGCCCGGCATCGGGTTCCCTGCTCAGCGGGGAGCCTGCTTCTCCCTCTCCCACTCCCCCTGCTTGTGTTCCCGCTTTCACTGTGTCTGTCAAATAAGTAAATAAAATCTTTAAAAAATCAATCCATAAATAAAAATAAAATGCCAGTCTGCTTCCTCTTTTTTCCCTTTCTCTTCTCAGCTTGGGGCCCCTGGCATCCAGATTCTGACCTCTGGAACAGGGGCAGGGTGGCTGAAACAAAGAAACAGTGTGACGTGTTCCACAGCGACTTCTGAAACCAGAAAGGACACGCCAGGGAGCTAACCAACACACCCCAGAAGGCCCTACGTAGCTTCTCAGTTTTTTCATCAGTTCCAGAAATGCTGGATAGACGGTACTGTCAAAGCCGCGAGCCCACGGAGTTCCTAGGTGGAGCTTGCGCACACTCGTTATTAAGTCATCGGGTTTGCCAGGGAGCGTCTGCAGAGCTGGGAGAAGCACCGCCTCCATTACGTAAGAGAAAACAATCTTTTGTTATGGCCACACAGACGTGCTACCCACGTTAGGTGTTGGCTGTGGCTCCTAAGCATTGCAAAGGAACTCTGATTAGCACCAACTCCTCCTTAGAACAAGGTCAGTTTAAAAACCATCAAGGGCAGACGCTGCAAGTACATCACCGCAGCCGGTGGGCCCAAGACAAGGCCTGCACATGGCTGGGGACAGCGAAAGCAGCAGGCAGAGGACATTTCCTGGGCTGCCTAGTCTCAGGCTTCAAGTTAAAAACAAACACTGAAACCAGTATTTACTTAAGGATTTCTAAGTCCGAGTACCCAGCCCAAGCCTCCTAATGCAAAACCACAACACCGAGGAGATGTGGGGCAGGCTTTCTAAACTCTGGCAGAGAGAGATCTTAAAAACTGAAACTCGAGGCAAGAGGAAAGCTCATGGAAATGAATCCAAGTCCCTAAGAATACGAGAGAAAAGGAGATGGAAAAGTAGCCATAAAGTTGTCGAACAACAAGCTTAGGAGCCTCTAGGACACTCTCCCACCAGGCCCCACCCCGGGGCTCCCCTGGGCTGAGGGCAGAGCTGCTCCCAGGGATATGGCAGTTCTTATAAGTTGTTAAACAGGTAGCTGCCCAAGAGCCTTCTCCAGCTTCCATGAGGCCGCAGGAACAAAAGGCTCTTTTCTGAAGGAGACAAAGCTGTTTTAACCCCACACAGGACTACCGGGCAGGCTTAGAGGATTCAGTGTTTCAGGCCCCATCCCCGCAGTATCCAAGCTGGCAGGAGGAGAAACTGGCTTTTCTACGGGAAATGCCTGGTCATCGGGAGCATGACAGGACAATGGCTCATTTGTGAGCTTGCCATGGAAACTGCCCAGCGTCGGGGTGCCCTCCACAAAAGTCAGCCCGAGAAAAGGAATCCCAAGCCTCACCTATGAGCCAACTCGGACCTTTGGGGTTTCCCTGTCCATCTTGCGGAGATAGTTTAAACTTGGAAATGTGACTTTCTGCCGCCCCAAGTACAAAGCCTGAACCTGGGAAATGCCATAGAGGAAGGAAGGAGCAGAGCGAGCCTGGCGAGGTGCACAGGGCCATGGGGACTCATTCCCTCAAACCAGCTCCTCGTGTGGAACCCCCACCTCCAGGACAGGAGTCTGACAACGTCTTCTGCCCACTTGGTCAGGCCTTCCTGACCCAACCATCTGAACGTTTTCAATAAAGGAGAAAATACTTTCACGACCCACCCCACACTGCCCCCCGCCTCTCATCGCCTCATCCTGGTGGGTGATTAAATACAGCTGCACTGTGGAAGTCACAGCCAGAAAGCACATCACTTGTGTTCATGCATCTCTTCCACCAGCATGCAGACTTTATAAGGGTGGGAAGCCCACTCTGTTCCTGCTGCACACACAGTCCTAGAATACAGCTCGACTCGTAGTACGCAACCAACACATGCTTCTCTCAGCCTGTTTTTTCTTTAATCAATGGCTCCACATATAACTAGTAAAAGTATGCTCAACTAATTCAACCAGAAGCACTACAACTGCTTTTGCTTGGAATTTTAAGATTAGGAAAAATTCTGCAGCTTTTCAAAAGCTAAACTTATGCCAAAACACACACACAACTTAATCCTTAAATAGTCCAGTCTGCTTGCTTCTGTCGGTCACATGTCTAAAAAAGTTCTGAAAAATGAGCACCACCCTGTGAGCAGACAGCAGCCTAGCCAAGACCCTCAGGATCTTCTTGCTATCCTGGCTGCCCCGATCTCACGGCCCACGTTAACATGGGTACACTGTGACCCCCGGGCTGTGGTGCTGAATGTTAATGTGGCCTGTTTCCATGGAGCTGCAGAGTCTGTATTAAATGCTGCTTTAATTGTCAACAACTGTGCAACTACCCATGGAGTAGAAGTCAAGAGTTTACAAACAGCAGGAGACGTTTTCAGTAAAGGAGAAAATACTTTCACGAACAGCGTCAAGCGTTCTGGTTTTCACTTATGCCGGACTAACCGGCCTGTGGGGAGGAGCATTTGGACAGTGACGCCACTTGCTGTTCCACGTGGGGTGCCCCTCGCCCCATGGGGCCCCAGCCCCGGAAGGCTCCAGACGGCCCCGGCCTGGACCGCAGCCCACGCTGGCCTCTCTAAGCCCCACACCGTAACCAAAACACCAAGTCCTTTCCAATCTATAATTCTGGTAAAAATCATAGCAGCTCTAAGAAAGAAGAGATTATTCTTCAAATGGCACTTTTCTTTAAGAATCAGATTTCTGATTAGAAAACAAAGTCCTCACCCATTCAATCACACTACAGTATGTACGTATGTCAAATTTTCTGAGCAATCAGTTGAAAATTTAAATGTCATAATCAATAAAACTGAAATGAATTTCTGTTAACACACCAGTCTTTGCAGTTACTAGTTCACAGCCCAGATTCTTCAAACTCCAGGAATGGAAATCCCTTTTCTAGCCAAGCCCTCCCAGGAAGACTGCCCCACCAGCCTCCTCATTGTGAGGAGCCACTTCCCACATCAGCCCCAAAGAGAAGGCACCTGCAGAAAGAGCGCTGGAGAGGCCAGAAGGGGGTCAGAGGAAAGCAGAGTTGAACATTCTTGGAAGAGAAGGTGAGGCACAGAGGGACCGTAGGGCCCGGCAATGCTCCAGATGCAGGTCTGACTTTTCCTAACATGGGTAAGCTGCAGAGACAGCTCTGAAAGCCAATGCTGGCCCTTGAGGCTTGTAAGCAATCATGTCTGTGCCCCAGCTGGCTTCCAGGGAGGTGCGGGGGTGAGCCCCCCTACCCCAGGTACACCTTCTGGAGGTAGGTTGGTTTTCCACAGGAACATGAACATTTCACAGCCCAGAAATGCAACATTTCGTAAGATGCTTATCATTTGGCAAAGGTCAATGACTCAGAACTGCCCTTTCCTTCATAAGGAATGAAGACCACTTGAAAGCTCAGGGGACACAGTCAGCTAGCTGTTGAGGGACACCTGGGCCCCCGTGTACCTCTACTTCAAGGGGTCCTTGAACTTCAATGTAACCTGCTGGCAATTCGTTTACCCCACTCCCTCCATACCCCTCCCCCCAAGTGCTTGTCATATAGAGAAATCTGTTATCCTGAAAACACATTTGGCTGTAAGAATGAAAAACTGTAACCCTCGCCTGAAATCCATAGAAACTTACAGGCGCCTTCTTGTCGATGGGCTTAATGACGAACTTTTTGTCATTGAAAGAGATGTTCCTGATTTCACTCCATGGAAAGCCAATCTTTGGGGTCAACCTGAGGTTAAAAAAAAAAAAAAAAAGGAGGGGGATAGTTAGGTGTGTGCTTGGATTTTTTTACTTCAATTTGAAAAAATACAAAGCTAGCCCAGGAAGCATAGTATTTAATATAGGTCATTACCAGAGGTCCTACCTGTGCTGGGTAAGGTCAGGTCCAAGCTCTCGCAAACCTCCACAAGCTCATTTATACTAAGTCTTCCCAACCTTGGGCATCCCCTGTGCCCGGTCCACCCCAGCTGGCAATCTCAAAGTCAACTCCAATCCCCAACCCAGCACACCCCTTCACCCTGTGAGAGCTCACACAGCCATCTTCTGTAGCCTAACTGGGTCCTTGTCCCCAGAACCCCACGTCTAGTCATTAGTCTGACTCATTTCCCTTGTAGTCAATCCACTCCTCTTCCAAACTGCCAACACCCTCCCCAGGTTCCACAGCATGGAATCCAGGGGCCTCGACTTAGCATCCAAGAGCCTTCTAATCTAGCCTCAGTTTCCTGACACCCAGGCTCTCACAGGCCCGCCTTGCCTGAGGAGCTCCCTCCTCCTCCCTCCCCTTTAGGAACCTGCACCCTTCAGAACAGCTCAGCCTACTTCAACAACCTTGCCCCTTCTCGACCTGTAGTCTCTTGTGCCACGTGAACATTTTTTCAATTCTTCCATTCTTATTTGCTCTTTGAGGACCACGCAGGTAAGCTTTCTGATGGCAAAGACCACGTCTTGGGTTTTCCAGGCATGCTCTAGTCAGAGCGGCTGCTCACCAATGGAAACAGAAAAGCCCCTGGTGTGGCTCCAGTCCACTGCTGAAAGTGGGGTAATAAAGTCCCCTACTCTTTTCTACTGTGGTCTACTTCCCCCTCACATCTGTTAGGATCTGCTTACTGTACTTAGGTGCTCTGATGTTGGGTGTGCATAGATTTACGACTGTTCGATGTCCTTGAGGAGCTGAGGGCTTGGTATGGATTCTGCTCTTCTGGGTCTCATTTAGTGCTGTGTGGCGTGTTCACCTGGCTGGCCAGACACCCTCCCGTGTCATCCTCCGACTTCTAAGACAGCACTAGGACTACTCACCCCTAAGGAAAGCCCCAGTACTGCTCACTACTGTCTGAAACTCTGGCTCTTTGGCATCCCCAGGGAAGTTCACCATATGATTTCAAGACCACATTGCTCTACTTAACCTCACGACTTCCACCCTATTTTTTCAACACATTTTACCATGGACACCATTCTAGAAGTAATGACAGACCCTCAAGCCACCAAAGATACTGCCATCAAAACCCAACCTTTCCCACAGTCCATAAAAAACTTTCAATTTAGAAAATAAGCAGGAGAACCCATTGCCCTACCAACATATTTAATAAAAAACTGATGGGCAGTGTAGGTCTTGCTACGACAACCTAAGCCAGATCAAGTTGGTGGGTGGGGTGACTTCTGAAAGCCAAGAGAGGACACCCAAGCCCCACAGATGGCTCTTCAGGGACACAGTGGTTCTGCACCCCTGGAGGAACTATGTCAGGGCACTGGCCACACTGTGGTTTTAAAGTGTCAATCCTTTTTGGCATCTGCCTTTTATAGCTGTCCTACAGGGTCACCAATGCCTGCTGAGACACATCTGGCCAACAGGCTTCACAGCCAAACATGCAAGGGGTTTGCTTTGCTATTGATCAGAGAGGTCATTGTGTCTGCAGGCCTTTGAGCACTGGAAGGGAACTCAGGATAGCACCTAGTCCCACTACTGACCGTAACCCGTGTCCTTATCTGGGGCGGCCGGAAGAGCACCAATAGGTAGGCGTCTGTTTGCTGCTTCCGAGCACCTCCCTCCACGGCACAAGAGCCCTTTGCGCTCGTTTCTCAGCTGGGCGGCTACCACCGCAGCCAGATTTCCAACTCTCAAAGCGCCCAGGAGGCAGGGATTGGGCTCCTAGCTTTATACGAGGTCCTCAAAACACTGCCGATCCTAAAAGCCCTCCACCTTCAGGTTAGACAGGCATCTTTCTTTCAGGATTGGGTGTCCTGTCACCACGGCCTCCAGCCCTCTGCTCTGTGGAGTGCCTGTAAAGTTTGTCTTTTTTTTTTTTTTTTAAGATTTTTATTTATTTATTGAGAGAGAGAGAGAGCATGAGAGAGAGGAGGGTCAGAGAGAGAAGCAGACCCCCTGCTGAGCAGGGAGCCCTATGCAGGACTCGATCCTGGGACTCCAGGATCATGACCTGAGCCGAAGGCAGTCGCTTAACCAACTGAGCCACCCAGGCACCCCAAAGTTTGTCTTTTTAAGACTCTGGAAGCTCATATAACAATTTACAGCCATTCAGAAGCATGAGTGCAGGTCAGAGACCACACAAGTTTTTTAAAAAGTGGGATTCTCCAATAAAAGGGACCAGAGCTCTTTAGAGAAATAGTGGATTCCTGGGCTGGAGCAGGGAAGTACAAGATGATCCTGAAACATCTTGAGGTGTCACTAAATAAAGAAGTACTCAAACAATAATGGGATCAGAGCAGAAGGGCACAGGAGCCAACTGAAAGGGATCCTAAAGGCAAATCTCAACAATCTGAACAATAAAATAATAGTAGTAACAGATTTATAGCCCAGAGGGCCCAGAGGGTAAAATATCTGTGAGTCCATATTAATATAAATAACTGAATAAATGAAGAGAAATTGGCTGTGTTCAGTAGACATGTAAAATAAATTAAAAAAAAAAACACTGTTTCTCAAAAGCCGACTCCTGAATGGATGCTAGAATAGATGAAATATGGTAAGAACCAGGGTATTTCCATAGCTTCAAAAGGTCTCCTTGAAATACACTTAGGACTACGAAGGGAAGGCAGGAACTCCACAGAGCAGTCTGGCAGAGAGTGCCTTGACCAGTAACCAGAGTTAGCACCACCGGGAGGGAGATTTCTGACATCACATGCTGCCTCACGAGAGGCCCCAGAAGCACCAAGGCAGACTCCTGTGGGATTCTGGCCCAAAGAGCATAACTCAAATCTAACTATGAGAAAACATGACACAGATCCAAGCTAAGGGACTTCTTCTAAAGAGTTAATGGCCATTATGCTATTCCAAAGGGTCAAGGTCATGACAGACTGGGGAGAAGGTGACTAAGTCCAGGTATGAGTCTGGGCAGGATCCAGGGGCAGAGAAAGGTCATTAGCGACAACTGGTTAAAATGGAAATTGGGTCTGTATATTGTTCACAGTTATCATGTCAGCGTTAACTTCCCGACAGATACCTGGACTATGGCTCTGTCAGATGTTACAACATGGGGAAGCTGCGTAAAGGACAGATGGGAATTCTTCGTACTCACTACTTTTCGAACATTTTTAAAGTCTGAAATGATTTCAAAGTGAAAAAATACATGGCTACAAAATTTAAATTCAAAGTATGCAGCTGGGGGTGATGATAATGTTCTTCGATGTCTTTACCGGAGTCTGGATTTTACAGGCACACGTCGGTCTAAACTCATTAAGTTTAGACTTAAAGAGCACTTAAGAATCGTGCACTTCACCTCAAAAGACAAACAAGACATACTGAGCTCTAGTAAATAATATGCGTTTTGGGGACAGTATACAGATGTCTGCAACTTACTTTGCAACAGGTCTGAAAGAGAGAGGGCTAGAGGGTACAGTGACACGCAGCTGGGGAGACGAAAAAGTGAAACGCCAAGGAAAGAATCTTTGTTTGAAATCTTTCATTAAAGTTTAGAAAAGGTCTGGGGTGCGATGGGTTGGAGCTACTGTGGGCCACACAGATGGCTCTGCCTACATTCTCAAAATGGAAGCGAAGACACTCATCGCTATCAGCGGGGGCCCGTGCAGGGTGGACCCCCACCACTCTGCAGGGCAGGCACGTGAAGGAACTTTCCCACGCGCCCCTCGTGCGTGCCTGCTGCCAGCCACGCTTAACCAGGCACCACGCTTCTCCCCCGCCCTCGCGCACATCCAAACACACGGAGGCCAAACTCTTGTCTGCCAGTCTGAGGTGAACTTTTAAACTTCTTACTCTCGGTGGACTAACTGGAGTCCCTGCAACAGTCTCTGTAAGAGACTAGGAGGTTTTTTTTTTTAAATTCTGTTCCACGTTCAAGTTAGGGTCCCAAAGGCCTGAAAGGAGAGAAGGCACTGACAACTGTGATCTCGGCGTATCTGATAAAAGAAAACTCAGACAAACCAAAGAACTGTCTTTTGCTCTCCTCTCTTACATAGATCAGTAACCCACTAATGTGAGAGCACAGAGCTGTAACGCACACCCAAGGGAGGGCGCAAAATCAGCATTCTGCCCATTAGCGTAATTTTAATTTTATAAACTGGAAATATAAATGACTGGCTTATTGGGACACCTGGGTGGCTCAGTTAAGCGTCTGCCTTTGGCTCAGGTCATGGTCTGGGATTGAGTCTGGCATCGGGTTCCTTGCTCAGTGGGAAGACTGCTTCTCCCTCTGCCTGCCGCTCCCCCTCCTTGTATGTGCTGTGACGAGTAAATAAAATCTTTAAAAAAAAAATGACTGGCTTATTTTAAGATATTATGATATACATAATACTACAGACACTATATTACAGTTCACTATGTTATACGTTAGAGTATGTACACGCTACGTACAAGTACTGTGCTATACAGCATACCATAATAACCGCCATGATGACTGGCTTATTACATATACAGTAAAGCTAGTAAGACAGAAATACAAATCAGAGTAGGTGATTTACAACTCTGAGAAATTTAAGGGAAAAAGAGACTGGCCCTTGTTTCGGCCCCAGCTTGTCTGCAGTCTTCTCCAGCATCCTCTCCCTTAAAGGGCCCACCGAGTTACCTGCTGGAGCCCGAGTCTACCACCCAGACTCCTGCCTCTGGGAAGACCAGGAAGACTGCGGGACTCAGGAGTGTGGGAGGAGTGAGCCCTAGGAGGGAAGAAGTGCTCTCACAGGACTGAAGGACTTGGGGGCAAGGGCACGTTCCTCTCATTGTTTTGTCTTTGTTGGTTTTGGTCTGATGATGCCAGGTAGGATCACATAACACAGCTAATCTCAGTGTTCTCTGTTTCCAAGCTGACACCTTTCAGGGAAGGGGTTTGCCTATTTCCTCCCCCTCCAAGTTCCTTCCTCATCTACAGGTTTACAGAAAAAGACAAATGCTTTCAGTCCCACATGCTCCCACTCAGTGGTTACGTATACAGTGAAAAGGGACCTCAAGAGACATTTCCCAACCAGGATACGTTTAATTCTAAAATACGGTAATAAAGGTATATTTGTTTATTTGCAGGTGCACTAAGTCTCTTATCGCCCCACTCACACACTCAATAGATCCGCGCTCTCACTTG